TTCTAGAAGAGAAAGCAGCAAATGCAGCCATACGCTCCTCAGCTGGTCCCTCATTTACAGGAGGTGGCTCTACTCCCTTATCCATGGGAAGGTGGGACAGATATCTGAACGTGGTCTTTCTGAAATCTCCAATGGCTTTCAATGGCTCCCAAGTACCCCAGAAATGCACTCCCTTCACGCAGCTCCCATCTGAGCACATGGCTCCATCTTGGCATGGAGAAGCACGAGGCGGACAGCTGGTCCTTACACAGGCTGCTCTGGCAGTACTGATGTTTAAGGTTCATAAACAAAAAGCCATCACAAAAAGATCCTGGTCTTCAGTGAAGTTGTTGCTCATAAGTTAGAATAAGCAAAGTCCATAGAGACTGAGTCCAAGTCTGGAAGGCACTTCCCCTTTACACAGTGAGGAGGCTGGTGCTGGTAACTCCTTAAAGTATCTCATTATGGTTTTCTGATAAGACTTGCCCATATTTGGTGTAGAATAATGACATGTGAGCTTGTTATAGTGACTGTTTTCAAGGGATGAAAGCCTATTAAAATTAATGCAAGTAACAAGGTTTTGAAAAAAAGGTGCAGGCCTCTTGAGAAAAGGAATTCTAGGGCAGAGAACAAGGCATCCTGAGAAGTGCTACTAGGAAGCCAGCTTTCCAAGACACTTTGCTGGTTGGTGTCCCAGCGACTACAATTCCTTATCCTTGCTTCTCAGTGTGCGTGCACCATCTTCTCTCTCCTGGTTTTTTCTTCTTCCTCATTTTACACGTGGCCCAACATGGCCACCCCAACCCAGATTCCACATGACTCTTCTGCTCAAAAAGCAACTCCCAGCGCTTCAGTTTCTCCCCTTCCTGTCAATCCCACCCAACCCAATTCTAATGGGCCCAGCTCTTGTGTTGGAAAAGGTGACTGGAGAGGACTCAAGCAACAGTGGGGAGATTTCCCAAGGAGTGAGTGAGGACAGGTAGCACTCCAATGCCAGTCATACATATCTATGTATCTACTGGCTATCCTAATATCCGAAAATTAAGTGCATGAGAGAGAAAACCTGACAAATTCATTCCTTCTTTGGCATCAAGTGATTTAGGCACAAAAGCATTTAATACAGAGTGTGAACTAGTTAAGCATACAGCCACTCAAACATTATGCTTAGCAAATTCAACTACTGTCTGTTCTGCATTGGTGGTTTCCTTGAAGACAGAACTAAACCAGGCCAAAGAACACAGGTACCTTTCAAAGGAGCTAGTTTTTCTAGAGGGCTTAGAATACCCAGAGCAATGCTGTTATTGGTTGTTAGCTTCAAAATGATCTCTTGTGTAGGTTTTAAACTGTTTCAGAAAGATTTCGGAGCTAGCCTGCCTGGGTTTGAAGTCTGGCTCTAATATTCATTAGCTACTGGACCTGAGGCAAGAGACTTCACAACTTACGCCTCAGTTTTTTCATCTGTAACTTGAAGATAACAACTAAAGTTATTAGGAGTATGAAATGCATTCATATTTGTAAAGGGCTTGGCATCAGGCCCAGTAAGTCATGTGTTCCTTACATGGTACTTATAATTGGTATATTCAACTAAAAAGAAAGCCACACAAAAATCTGTAAGAGAAGCGCTTGATAAAATCGTTTAAAAATAAGTTTATTATAACTAACGAATATAAAATCTGACAGATGTTTTCAAACATTTTTGCAAAAAAAGTAAATACCCTCCCTGTCCCCCCTCCCCACAAGATACAGAGTAAGAACGTGGACAGAAAAACAATACAAACTTAACATGAAGTTCATTCATCAGCTGGTCCTAAAAGGCTCCAACACTTTATATTCTAAGTAAAAGTCCATTAAATTAAGAAGTCGACAAGCCACTTGATACTTCTGTCATTTAACTTGCTTTCTACTGTCATTATGATACGCATTCAAGAGGGACAAGAACAGGTAACTAAGAGCGCATGTGACAGATACTGAAAGTGCATGAAGCTGTGAAACCACAAACATTCGTGAGAATACTGGATGTGGAATTAAACACTCACTTAAAAAAGTAATCCAAGGAAATCTATGTACATTTTTGCCTTTGGCATCTGGTCTAACGTGTTTCTTCTTCATATAGGTATCGATTTATACAATCTAGTAACCAGATTAAATTCATATGGACACATTTCACATTTGACACAGATTGTCCACAGCCGATTTCACATGAGGTAGTTGGGCTGTTTAATGACATTCTAGTGAAATTCTCATGACACATGGGAATCATACATTAAACATGCCATGAATCTGGCTTATTAATCTTCTAGAAAGCAACAGAATTACTTCTAGATCACTCTCCCTAAAATCACTGACTCCATGTTCGCCTGTGAATAGACAAGCATGCATAGGAGTCTGTGTGGATGAGCTCAGCTTTGCAGGGCACCCACCTTCCTCCCAGGGTGGTTTCTGTGTGTAAGGTACAGGGAAGAAATACCGACCACACCTTGAAACATGAACTATCTAAAACAAGCAGGATATCATTCTTATGTTCTCACATAGCTCAGCTGAAAACATCAGTTCACTCTGAAAGAGAAGTGATTAATAAGGCTAAACAAAGAATTTTGAAAAATTTGAGATGCAGAGTAGTGGTATGTTTTTCCTTTTAACTAAAGGCTATATAAAAATCAGCAGAGAAGATAGGTCAATGCATGCGCCCACTGTACCAGACAGGTGTGGCCGATGACTGCCTCATCGTGCCCTGGAGTGCCTGAACGCGGCAGTGCGACGAGAAATCATGCAGATGGCCATGGCACACAGGACTGCTGGCTACTGGAGACAGGATAGGGGCTGGGGATGTTGCAGGGAGATCCAGTGAACAGTAAGTCCATGGAATTGCTGAAAGGACCCCAGTGATCTTGTGAGAGATAAACAGACATCTAGTGAATACTTCTTATATCATGCCTATGAAACCCCTGAGTAAGCAGCTGCAGATTACAAAGGGACATAGAGAAGTAGGACATCTCTCTATACGAAACATCCAGGGGTACAGGCTGGTGTCCACGCTGACATGTGCGGGACTGTGCATGATTAGAAGAGCTCTGAAGCCAGGCGAAGACCACATGCATCAGCTCAGATCACATGGCTTCGAACACATTCTGCTTACTTACAAATTCTACATCGAGCATTTTTAAAACTTAAAAAGGTCAACGGTTTACCTTTAAATAAAGAAATGAAACAAGGGGGGGGGAGCTAACAGTTGTAAAACCTATGACTAAAATGAGAAACAACTGGCTCTAATCAGTGATTCAGAAATGCACCATTATGTAACCAAGTTCTTGTAGGACATGGTAGTTTGGTAGGAAAAAAACAACGAAAATAGTTTTTCTTCAGAAAGTTTCCTAAATGTCCCACATCTGTTGCTCACGAGCCTCTGACTCCTTCTATGACCTTATCAGATATTTACATATATGATTTTCACAGTCAGATTTAGTTTTCTTAGTAAGAAACGGCTCTCTTCAGCTCTTTGCCTAACTTTAAATTTAACGAATAAAAGTGTACTTTATATAATATTGGTCCCTCCTGTATTTTTCTTACTTGAAAACACTTTCCTGAAAATACAAGGTTGAAAGCATCAGCTTTTTGGATCTACAGAAGTAATAACCGAAGAGTGCCTGTTTCCAGCTGCGCCCACCTCATCACCACCCCCTTCTCTCAGTGCCAAACTCCTCGGTGCTTCCTTGCTTTACAGCTACAGATGAGAACGTGGCTTCTTTAAGAAATTCTTCCAGGCTGAGAAGGGAACAGAACCCCCACCCTGGACTGGGCACCAAACCCATGGCCAAATCAGTGCCAAATGCCCTCCGAATGCTAGAAGCTGCTGCTGAGGAATGGGGCGGGACAGCTAAGGGGGTGGGGGAAGACCTGGCAAAGGACAGGGGCACTGCTGGCAAATTCCCATGGCAAAGAGGAGAGGAGCTGCAAGGCTGAATGACAGAGTTCAGAGCGCTCTCATGGGGGCAGCTTTATGTTCAGAATGACATGCAAACAATGACAACAGGGAACTCAAGTCACTACTTAGACTTCCAAGTCAATTCCCTGGCCCATGTGCTCAGTTCTGAGAGCCTCTGCTCTGGAGCCCCCTTCAGAACTGGATCAAGAGCTGAGGAGGAGATCACCTCCTCATAGTTGCAAGTTGGCTTGCCTCCCAAAAGGTTTTTGCATTTTTCATTGGTACTAGCTACAATGAATCACACTTGCTTTCAAAAGACAAAAAGCCTTACCATCATTGAAGATCTTGCTTAGTTAAACACACCGGTCCTCTCACTAGGGGGTGATGAAACTGTGGGCACAAACTGCTTTGCAAGGGGCCAGCCAAGTGTTACTTTTCATTTCCACTATACTAGGAGATACGGTTCCTTTTCCTCCAGGTTCTCTCTGAAGGTTCTGTTGGAAAAGGAATCCTAAACGTATTTTGAATGGTGAACGCGAGGTGATGACTCTCTGTCAACAAACATGCTAGAGTTTTCTTACCTCCTCTCACTGTCACAGTGAAATGAAACTTGGGTGTCTCAGAAATCTCGGGGGGCTAGAAAACTTGAAGTATCATCTCTCATTGCCCTCTTTGTAGAAAATAACTGGATATTGGCACAAACTGACTTTAATTAAAATGGAGAAGCAAACACTGAAGATCCTAGGGAAAGCTCTTACTAGGCCATGGTGCGGGTCAAGCTCAATTTACTGTTTAATGTTAGGTTTAATTTCTTTTTTTTTTTAAAATTTTAAGCCGTTCAGTTTTACGCATTTTAGACAAACTTAATATGCTCCAGTGAAGTAAATGCTATTTAAAAAAGATATACCCTTTTTCTACAGGGCTGGGGAAAAGGTGATTAGATAATGTGGCTTATTTGAATTATTCAAGTTCTCTGTCTGGCCTGGCTTCCCAATTATCCTGGTAATGGTAAATCCCTCTCCCCAGAAAACTGAGTCAGGTACCCCTAGGCCGTACCGACAAAAACGTGAAATGGCCATGCTGAGCTGCTTCCCTTTTGTGTGTACTCAGTCTCTGTGGCAAACTGAGGTATTTTCAGAGAGCCCCCATCTTCCCAGAGGCCACAGAAGCTCATCAGAGGTGACGAGGAGCACCAGCAGGTGCTCAGAAAGGTCATGCTTTACAACACTTAACCACCTCCTGGTGCATCCCCTCCTGAGGGCACCAGGCCTAAAGTGTCCTCAAAGTACAAGCAAAGCCTGCCTGCTTTTTCCCTTTCCCTTTTATGCAGCTATGTCAAGGGCGGGACGTCTAAATTATGCCCTAGTTCCACCATCATATTCATACTGGCCAGAAAAGGAAAGCGACACGAAGTACTCACGGGAGTAAAGTAACACACTTCAGTAGCCGCCAACAGCAAATGCTAAAATACAATATGAACCACGTCACTTGGCTCCCTTGACTCCTTGACCTTCAAATAAATATACATTGTTCTTTTCTAAGTTTGAGTATTTTCCAAAAGTCCTTATATGGGTAAAATACCTGCTTCACTAATTTGCGCTAAATAAATGCCCATTTGTTTAAAGACAGACCAAAGACAAAATTAACATCCCTCTCTACAGGAACCTCTCTGACAAGTATGGATGCAGAGCAGGCAGGGCATCCAGAGCAACTCAATTCCCTATTCTTCAGAGGACCCCACCTTCTACCTGGAGGAGCTACCTTAGGCCGGATCCTCCCTTTCTATTACCAGAAGGAAACAGCTTCTAATGGAGAAGGCTCCCACAGCTTCTCACCTACACACACCAGGCAGCTTGGTCTATGGAGAGTCTAGAGTCCACAGCATGGACATCACCCTGCAGGAGAACACCCAACCCAATGTGGTTGGAGGAAATAACTGAAGTCCTATCTTTAAACTCTGACACTGTCCCAACTTCTGAGCTGATATGCAGCTCCATTTAGCCTGCTCTGTACTCCTAGTGATTAAACCAAGACTGAACAGAGCGCAGATTCAAAGTTGTGGCCCCTGAACACAATACTGGGGCCTGCTGCCAGGTGCCAATAGTGTTTCCTCTAAGAACACTGTTGAGTAAACTTGATCCATTTCTCACTCTCCATTTAACTATTTAAATGATTTCCTCTTCCTTTGAAAAAAAGGACATATTATTAAGTTCCTGCAAGACTAGGAATTCGATAACCTACAATTTAACCTACCAGTTCTTCCAGCCTAAGTGCCTAAGAATCACTTGAGAAGTTCATTCAAATGTGGATTCTTAGTCCCACCTTCCAGATTCCAGTTCTTCAGGGCAAGGAAAGGCCTGGGAATCTGCCCTATGAACATGCAATCCATGTGACTGATGCTGAGGCGGTCCATATCACACCTGCAAATCATCCTGGCTCCTGTACTTAGAGACCATGTGACCAGGACCAGATCCCTCAACTTCCAAACCTTGGAAGTAATAATGGGGTAAAAATCCCTTTGAATATCACGGTTACATTATGATGTCCCATTGTGATCATGCACAGGAAACATGATGGCAAAGGGTGGGCACTAGGTAGGTGTCATCACAAATGACCTGTCCCACTATACTGTGCTCCACACTGCTCATCTCACCGTAGCTGCATTCTCCTGCTACCAGGAGGACAGCCACTCTGTCCATGTCTTCATCTCCCATAATCAAATGGTGATGCAATGACCTCAACATTTTCACCACATAGGCTCTTCTCACCAACCGAGCCATGGAGAAGAGGATCCACTGGAAAACATCTTGGGAGTACCAACGCTGTGTTGTGATCATGTCAACAAAGGAACTCACACTGCGAGTCTAATTCTAAGTTGGCTAAAACACTGACTATGCGTAATCCTTGATACAGAATCTGTTTCTTTCCAGCTTGGGTTTCAGCAGCCTATTAAAAACTAAACCCAATACAAAACACAATAACAACATATTCATTTGTCAAATCTGCTCTTAAAACTTGCTGTTCAAGTCTATAGTAGCAATGATTTGGTTTCCAGTAGGCCTGTAGAACTGAAATATATAGCACCTTGATTTTTAAAAACACGAAACATATATGCATTTAAAAAAATCATATATAAAAGCACTGGGTTTTGCCTCCTCCTCTCCATCCCCCTCAAGTAAAGGGACTGGAGAGGGCTGAAGCTGTTGCTGGAAATTAAGTAGGGCAACAAAGAACTTTTGCAAACTTTATTCCCTGAAGTTGTGAGGCGCCGTCCTGCAGCCATCATACCACCTCGTCAGACTCCAGCCCATGGACCTCGTACAACGTGTCCAGGATGGCCAGCTGCTTTTCCATGGCAGGGAGGTAAAGGCTGAGGTCTCTCTGCATCCCAAGACTGAAAGCTTCTTTCTGGTGGTCGCCTTCCTTTATGGTTAACGCAGCCACAAAATCTTCATAGGATGGAGCTGCCCTCAGAGCTAACTGCAAAAGAATCACCTGTGAGAATCTGTATCGTATCTGTCTTTCAGACGCTTACTCTTATACATGTGCACGTGCACACACTTACACGCTTATGTACACACACAAAATGCAGAGAGCAACACTGAAGAAATATGAACACCTTTCTAATTCATGGGCTTTCTAAAATTGTGTTCCAAGTAACAAATCGAATAACTCTAAGGCCACAAGAGGAAGTGTGTACTTGAGCGATTTTCAGGATGAACAAAGCCATGTCAGAGAATAGTAGGAGAGTTTGCACAAAGCTCCTCTCATCTGCATGGAATTTGGATGATTCTTCGCGAGTCCTCCGAATCTACCCACGTGCATGTCGCCTTGTGGCCTTTGTTTCCATGTGGCCAGCCTCCCAGGGTGGCCTCATTCTGTTTGGATCTCGTCTCACACACATTTCTTTGGAGGTCTCCTATTTCCGCCCACATGGATATTATTTCCTTTACACTCTGGAATATTTTCTAAAAGGCGAGAGAGCCGATGGCGGTTGTTCATGTGCACTGACGCTGTAACATATCTGATCTCGGTAAGTCTTTGTAAGAGCCCTGCACAGTTTATATCCCTATTTTACACAATGAATGCAGTATGGCTGATGGGTACCAGAACCAGGATCTGAACCAAAGATCTGCTCTGTGCTTTCCAACCACACTCACCGCTCGCTCATGAGAGATTTCCAAGGCCTCTTCCCCACCCCCGACCCCCGCAGGCTAACTCTTCTCTAAGGCTACTAAAATCTGCTTTCTGATATCCCCTCAATTAGCTCTGCTCAGCAGAGGTCTTTTGGAGAATCCTGAGTTACCGTTCTGTAGTTGCTTTCTTGAACTTCCTTATACTTTGAGAGTCTATGAGAATCAGTTCTCCTCAGTTTTGCATTAACAGTGTGACTGGCATTATCCTGCGGTGGTTAAAGCACAGACTTGGATGAAGCAGACACAGACTAGAATCTCAGATCTTTCACATGTTAGCTTGAGGAATTGACACAAAATGCTTAACCTCCTAGAACCTCAGTCTCCTTACTGGTAGAAGAACACGAACATTATCTCCTTATTTTAAGGATTAATGAGGTATACAGGAAGTGTTTAACCCACTGTCTGGCATAACGGAAGGAGTACAACAGAGCAAAAGAACAGAGAATGAAGAGAAGGCAGTTATCTCAAAACAGAATGTACGAAAATCTCCCAAACCTAAGAAAAAGTGACACCAGAATTAAATAAATAATCAAGTATGCAGAATGACTGATAAACTAAAGGGCGCGTCACTAAATTTTAGAATATGAAGAATAGATTCTAAAGCATCCCAAAGGGGAAGAGAAACAGTTTATATACCATGGACTAAGAATAACATTAAACTGTACAACAGTAACATCGGAAGCTGGAGGGGAATGTCTCCAGAACTCAGAGGGAAAACAATTATTAACCTACAATTCTATCATTCTATCCAGCCAAATTGACACTTTAAAAAACAAGGAGGAGGAGGAGGAGGAGGAGGACAATCAATGATAAAGCTCAGCTGTCTAGTCTGATTGAAGAGGAAACCAAGAAAGGTCCAATGATGGCTGCTCAGTGACCAAGCTGAAGCCAGACCCTCGCCTGGGCATCGGTTTACTTACAACACAGAAGTTCACTATTTGGCATGTAAATGAGTCAAGTTCCTTATGTAAAAGATGTTTCCCTGAGCAACTGAGATTAGTTAAAATAAATCTGGCTCAGCCAGTTAGCACATGTTGGAAAGCTCAAGAAATCTTCCAAAGCAAGGAGCTTGGAGGATAAGAGAGATGCTGAAAGAGTCCATCTAGCTACAGACTTAGTGCCGCTATTGACCATGCTGTTGCCCAGTGTTGACAAAATCATGATCAACTTTCTTAAAAACGATCATCTTTAAAAATTACTACCAAGACTATCTAAAGCCTTTACAGTGTTCTTACTCTGAAACCTTGGCTATATCACCTCACCTCTTTGTGTCTCAGGTTTCTTTGCCTACAAGCAAGGAAAATAAGAGAACCCATCTCCGAGTTTGAGATTTATGGCTTTATGTACAGCAAGCATGACAAACAACGTCTACTGAATGGCAAGTGCTCAGAACCGTAAGGTGTGGTTGTGGTTACTGCTATCAGACAAAGCAATTCTGTCTAGTAACTTACTGTGAGGAAATAAGAGTGTTAGTCAAAAATGGATGATAATAGATTCTGTTTTATTTTTAAAAACATACTTAGAGGCAGCTTAAGTTTCTAACACAGAAGACTGAGCAAATAAATGATGATACACCCATCGCCCATATACTGCAAAAATACTAATGTATATAGTCACTAAAAATAGTGTGTTTTCAAAGACTTAAGGCATTTAAAAAGGGTCATGATAGAATCTATTAAGTGAAGAAAAGAATACAAAATTATACTAAAGCTAAATGTAGAAAAAAATTAATATACATACAAAATATAATTATACACATATACTATTGGGTCATCAGAAAAGTCATGACACATTTTTGCATAGAAAAATATAAGGGGGCCAGAGGTGGTATAGTGGTTAAGGCACTAGACTCCCACATGGACAACCACAGTTTGAGTCCTGGACCTGGCAGCTTGAAACTCATGACGGAGGTATGTAAATGAGTGCCCAAGATCACGGTAGGAAAATGGAGAAGGGATTGTGGAGTGGCTATCCCCCTAGGGTGTGAGTTCTTGCTTTTCCTCTGGCTCACTCTCTCTCCAGCAAATGCACATGCCTTACAGCAAGGATCTCTCCAAAAAAAAAAAAAAAAAAAAAAAAGGAAAAACTAGATGAAAAAAACATCATGACTTGTCCAACAACCCAATATATGTATGTAGATGTGTAAATATAAGTAGACATATATATTTAAATACACAGAATTATATAGTTCAATGCTTTAAAAGACTATGTAAATAAGAATATATAAAAATAAAAGTTGAAAAGACAAAAACGTTAAAAATTCAAAATATGGATATGGTTTCATTTTTCTTTCGATTGTTCCATGGTTTCTAACACATTTAAGAGTTTAAATTACTATAAATTGGGGAAAAGGGTGTAAATCAAAAGTCCTTTTAAAGACATATGCTTATGATAAATTTTCTACTATAGCTGCATTCTTGTTGGTAACATGTCTTGGATGATCGTTATTAAACTTTACATTCCATACCGAACTCCTTCTAAGCCCACATTAATGTCTCATAGTCGGGACAATTCAGTGTTTTGCTCAGGGCCATCTCACCGAGGGCACTCAGGTGTCAGGCACCTGCCATCACAGTATTTACAGAGACCAGGGAACGTCGGGAGCTCCCCCTGCCTCAGAACCCAGCAGCGACTTCTGGATTACGTTGTCTCCACTGCAGAGAGCTGTGAGGAATGGGCACTAGCTCTGGAGAAAGGAAATCTGGTCGAGATCTGGGCTCTGGCATTGCCTCACTTTGGGACTCTGGGACTTAGATGATCGTTTTGAATTTGTAGAGTAGGAGTTCATTCTGAGGATTAACAAAGATGGTGAACAAGACAGTACCTGGCACACAACAGGTACCTAACAGCTACATGGTAGCTCTTGCTGTGATATTCACATCACTGCAGGCAAGTGTGGGCAGTTTGGAGCTGCAGTTGGTCTGGTACCTGTTACAGAGAATGGTGGGGTGTGGAGCTAGTCATCTCCACGCCTCTAAAAAGTATCTCATTTTCACTAATGTTTTATTCCTCACTCTACACGGTTTTCCCATTTTCTTTACCACCTCCTAATAAATCGTGACCTACACAGTTCTTACAGCAGGCAAATGATGTATACTTTAAATTAGTAAAGGATACTCTGTAAGGCAATTCCATCCTCGCTAGCCTTCCAAAGGGCACCCATCCTATGGCAATTCCTACTGAATGAGGACATGAGACTTGGCCTTTGCATGGCTACACTTGACCAAGACTCATCTTTCCCTGGATGGAAAGAATCATGAAGTGGAACTGCTAACATAAAGGGGCCGTCTACTGCTTTTTTTACAAAGCAGGCCAAGTGATGTCAGTGTATTCTTTCTAGTTCAACATGCTGAGGAAGAGGGGGTAGTGGGTAACAGGAGCCAAAACGCCATGAACACAAACATCTTCACAATAAAAACAGAGATTTCTAGCTATAGCCACTGGTTCACTCAATCCAGTTATGAAAAAAAATCAACCAAAGGGGCTGGCAGGTGGTTAAGGGTGTTGGACATCCACATGACCAACTGTGCTTCAAGTCCCAGACCCGGCGGCTTGCTTTCTCACTTTCTTTCTTTTTCTCTCTCTCCCCCGTCTTCTCCCTCTCTGGTCAAAATAAAATTTAAAAAGTTGAAAAAAATAATTCTTTAAAAAAAATTTAACTAAAATCTGAGAATTAACAGAAATGAACACAAGGGACACTAGAGGGAGCTGTTCATTTACATTCATCACCTGAAACATCAATTTCCCTCAATGGTAAGCTCCATGTGGGACTGCTGCTTCCGGTCTACCTGTGGTTGACAGTCAAGCCTTTTACTACTTCATTAGGAAATGGAACACTTGTGAGGCAAGCCCCCACAAAGTTGCTGGAGCTGGAAAAGGTAAAGTGTACTCTTCATTTGTTTCTTGAAGTCTTTGCTATTCTGGGCACTATTTTATTGCCGACAGAGTCACACACCAGAAGCCCATAAATGTAAATGAAATCCCATTTTGTCCTCATCCTCAAAAGCAAAGCAAACAGGAACACCACACACCTAAAACAAACAGAACACCTCGCCTCTGGCCATCAGAACATGAGGCAGGCTTGTACTTACCGCAAAAACCCCTCGAACCACCCAGCCGTGGTGCTGCCGCAGTGTTTTACCGTATGCGTTATCTTGAACAGAAGAAAAGCTCCATGAGAACACTTGCATCAGAATGCGATATGTTATCTCTACAGCATACTCTGAATGTAAGCAGTAGCACAGTCTTGCTATTAGGAACTGATGGAAAAATCTAATTACAAAATTGGTACCACACAAGTTTTAGGTATGAAAAAAGTCCACGTGGATTCTCTTTTTAAAAAAATAGGTACTTCTACTCTTACCTTGGGTCAATACATTTGAACTTATCATCATGATGGGAAAAGTATAAAAAAAAATAATGAAGGAGAAAAGGATATCAAAAAATTGAGACTAAACACAATTAGCAACATCCTCTTTTTAAAATACTGTAGTTCTTTCAGATGTGTTAGCTGCCCTCTCTCAACAGCTGTTTCACCCTTTGTGAAATGATCTCTCAGGCTCTTTCCAATTCTAACATTCTAAACTGGGATGCCAAATGTGTGTCCTAAATGTCCCTATACCCTGGAGAGACAGCACTAAGGCTAGAAACCTTTGAAAACACTACAGTGGCCTGAAGTTGTTGAGGTAGTTACTGTATGCCACTGGTGAGGTCTGTTACTAAGTCACTCGAATTTTATACTTTAAAGAGAACATATTATTTTTGCTCAAATGTGTTCTGAACAAAATTCGTATACGTTTTAATTACAAAAAGAAAAAAAAAAAAAAAGCCCAAGAACAAGATAACTCCATTTTTCACAAGGGATATATTCTGAAAACTTTGAATAATTCAATATATGCAAAATTCAAACAGATTTCCTGCACAGAGACGAATGCATTCTCAGAAGGCACAGACCTGCATCACCATGTAGTGTTTATATTTCAATGTTCCATTTATTTTTTAAGCACCATCTCTAATAGTTTGATGATTCCTAAATTAACAGCCCAGTATGTCATGGGGGCTGTTTCATCTTTTCATCATGTTTTACCATGTCTGAATTCTTTTCTGTTTTTAAATTTGCCAACAGGTGAGTGCTCTTGCTGGAGAGAGACAGAGAGACCAAGTGAGAAAGCACTCCCCATGGGGAATGGTCATGCCATAATCCTTTCCATTTCTCCCTCCCTCCCTTAGGAATTTTGGGCATGTATGCATATGTGTGTGGTATGGCTTTCAAGCCTTAGGGTCTAGGACTCCAACCTCAACATTGGGTATGTGGGATCTAGCCACCTTAACCAGCACGTCACTGGCTGGCCCACTATATCTAAATTTGAACCCAAACTTAATTTATATTCATATGCTAGCCTCAGCAGCAGCAGAAATAGCAGATTATTTAATGCGGGGGTCTCCAACCCCCGGACGGCAGACCAGTGCTGGTCTGTGGCCTGTTGGAGGCTGTGGCCTGTTGTGCCCCCACCCCAACTCAAGCTGCCCAGCAGTGGGTGGGCAACGAGTGTGTGTTTGCAGCCACTATCCACTGTTCGCATTGCCACCTGTGCTCCACCGTCTATTGGCTTCTCGTGGTAGCGCAAACCCTACTGCTATGTGATCGTTTCACTGTGTATTGTACATTGCAGTGTGGTAGTGATGGAAATGGGGTGCATGATGGATATGGTACACTTGGTCATCCCAGGATCAACACCTCCTTACTCCCTGCCTTCCCCCACCATGCAGGATTGTTTTCTACAAGACTGGTCCCTGGTGCCAGGAAGGTTAGGGACTGCTTAATTCCCCCCGGCCCCCCCCCCTTTTTTTTTGAGAGGTATTTGCTATCAGGCACAGGTGCTCGCCAAAAAGACAGAGAGAGAAAGCAAGAAATCACCCCCCTAGGAGGATGGCCACGCTGCAATCCCTTTGCTTGCTTCTCCTCTCGGGATCTTGGGTACACATGCACACGTGCCCAGCATGAGTTTAAGCCACTGGGTCCGGGACTCCAACCACGGTCGACTACATGGGAGTCCAGCAACACAGTCATTATGCCAACTGCTGGTTCCGGGGACTGCTGATTTAATGAATGCTAGGTGACATTAAATAGACTTTAAAAATATCCCCAGCTATAACAAAAGCAGATTTTAAAAATAACAAGAACAGATACTAAAATCACAAGTACAAGTTCCTATGCAGTAAAAAGCAACGTGGTTCTCAGGTCATGGCAAAGGATGTCAGGTGTAGTTATACACTACACAATGATGCCTCAGTCCACACGGGATAGATGGTGCTCTTTAATACGCCATATGGCCCAGGTGGATAGGAGGCTATACCACCTTGGTTCGTGTGAAACACTTTATGATGCTCACACAATGATGAAATCACCCATGATCCATTTTTCAGAACCGTTCCCAGTCATTAAGCCGCCAGATGACTGGATTCACATTTTACTGGCTGACAGGCACTGCCATGTGGCTGCAACTTAAACAAAGTTAGCAACTTACTCAAGCCCCACCCCAGCTTTGAAATTATGTAACTTTACTTAACTTTTATCTTAAAATTTAGGTGAAGCTTTTTAAATAGTTTTAGTATGCCCTACTATCTACATTTTACATATTTTGAATTCGCATAAAATATAATCATATACTATTAAGAATTATTTATTTAATATTATTTATTATTATTTTTTTAATTTACTACATGGAACATGTGTTCACCACATGTGAGAGAGGGAAAGGAAGAGGGAGAGGGGGAGAGAGAGAGAGAGAGAAATTGAGAAAGCAAGCCGCCATATTCAGGACTCAGGCTGTGGTTGGCCATGTGGGAGTTCAGAACCTTAACCATCATACCACCTGTGGGCTCCCATATGTGTTTTCTTTTTTCTTTCTCTTTTTTTGGAGAGGTTTTTGCTATAGGGCACGTGCGCTCGCCAGAAAGACAAAGAGAGACATAGAGACAGAAAGCGAGAAATCACTCCCCAGGGGGGATGGCCACACCACAATCCCTTCTTCTCCTTTCTCCTCTTGGGATCTTGGGCACGCATACACAAGCACCTGGTGTGAGTTTAAGCCACCGGGCCCGGGACTTGAACCGCAGTTGACTACATGGGAGTCCAGCGACATAGCCATTACACTAATTGCTGGTCCCCCATATGTGGTTTTTAATTGCTAGAGGATGTGTGCACTTGCTAGAGAGAAAGACAGACAGAAAGCACCTTTCCAGTGGGGTATGGTCATGACACACAATCCCTTCTCCTCTATTTTTCAATCCTGTCAGGACGTGGGCCATGCATGCACACGTGCCCAGTGTGTTTTTCAGGCTGCCGGGACTGGGACTTGAACTACAGTCAGCCATGTGAGATCCAGCTCCATGGGCATAATGTTAATCAAGGCTAGTCTGCAACTATAACTTATTTTTATTTTTAATTTTTTAAACGATTTGTCAGAGGGGATGTACACTCACCAGAGAGACAGCATAAGTGAGGCAGAAAGCACACCTGGGGACCAGCAGTTGGTTTAATGGTTATGTTGCTGGACTTCCATGTAGTCGATGGCAGTTTGAGTCTCGGACCCAGTGGCTTAAACTCACACCGGGTGTGTGTGTGTGCATGCCCAAGATTCCGAGAGGAGAATGAAGGAGAAGGTATTGTAGCATGACCATCCCCCCTGGGGGGGTGATTTCTTGCCTTTTTTGCTTTCTGTCTCTCTGTCTGTCTGGCGAGCACACAGCCCTATAGCAAAAACCTCTCCAAAATAATAAATCAATAAATAATAGTAATAAACCTCTCCAAAAAAAAAAAAAAAAGGAAAGAAAGAAAGCACACGTCTATGGGCATGGCCACCCGCAATCCCTTCACCTCCATTTTCCCACCCTGTAGGAACTTTGGGTATGAATGCACACGCTTCCTTACGTGTTTTAGAAGTCACCAGGATTGGGATTTGAACTGTATAGCTGACCATGTGACAAGCAGCTGTAGGCAACAGAGCTGGCCCATCAATTATGTTTTATACAAAACAATACGTTCTCTCTCTCTCTACACATATATAGGAATATATTTTTTAAATAATTATTTAATTTAATTTAGCTTATTATTATTACTTTTTAATTTGACCAGAGAGAAAGGAAAAGTTCGAAAGCAAGCTGCCAGGTCTGGGACTTGAACTGCGGTTGGCCATGTGGGAGTCCAGTGCCTTGACCCACCTGCTGGCCCCGATATAGCAAAATAATATAACAGTCTATACATAGATATATTAACAAGAGATTTCCCTGGCTATCTAAAGTATCAGAATAGGTTGAAAGGCCAGCACCAAACACAGCAAAGCTAAAGCGGAAGTGGTAAAGACTAATAAATTCAAGTATGAATTAGACTCTTAGAGACAGACTAAGGGGGAACCATGATTAAAATTTGATCTTTTTCAAGGCCAGTAGATGGTATGGTGGCTAGGGCACTGGACTCCCACAGAGTTGACTGAGGTTCTAGTCCTGGCCCCTGTAGCTTGAAAATCATGCCAGGTGCATAGGCCCAAAATCCTAAGAAGAGAATGGAGGAAAAAGGATTGCAGCATGACCATCCCCCTGAGGGGTGATTTCTCACTCTCTGTTTTTCTCTTTCTCTTCCAAAATCTTGAGAAGAGGATGGAGGCAAAGGGATTGCGGCATTGCCATCCCCCCGGGGGGTGATCTCTCACCGCCCCCCCTCTCTCCAGCAAGGGAGCATGCCCTATAGCAAAAAACTAAGAAACAAACAAAAAGGTTTTATAATTCAGTGCTATGTCAAACCTCAGAGACTCAATATCTTTCCTACACTTTGTCATTCAAGTCAACCATTCAAAAAGGCATGGAAGCCCTTCTTCATGCCCCCTTCTGAAGGATGGTATGAAGACAAGAGTCTTAGGAGTCCAAATAGCATGGACAGCCTGCCCTAAGGACAGCAGCGCCATCTGACCCCCCACCGAGGTCTAGCAGAAGAAACCGCTGTTCCATGTTGTAACTTGCCCGAACAGAGTTCCACCCGGCAAAACGTGAGCCAGGGAGCCCAGCCGCAGTGCAATACTCAAGCTGCATGGAAAGGCCTTGGTTCGGATCCTGGGTTGACCTGAACATGCCAGGTGTACCCAGGGGTGTGACCGT